ACACAAGAACTGGAGTACAGGCCAGAAGTACAGTAGGTGAGCTGATTCACTAGAGACAGTGGGAAGCAGAACAGGCAGATCTACTGAAATATACTGCTGAGGGGAGCAGCAGGTAGGTCATGACAGGTCTTCACCATGTGGGTCACCTCCCTGGCCAGGAATGGAACTCATGCTGCAGTGGCTTCAGATAGCTTCATAGTGCAGTGCTTTAATACTTGTACCACCAGGGAATTTCCCTAGAAGTATTTAACATGACCACTGCTGCTTGTCTTTCTGGAAATCGGTTGGAGAAGGAGACTCCTAATGTGATGACTATAATAATAGGGGTCTTTTTTTTTTTTTTTTTGGTTCACCTTTTTCTAAATATATATAATAGCTTATTTTTACATCATTTTGTACTTTTTTTTTTTTTCCATCTCAATTGTAATTCCCATGGGCTTTCCATCACCAAGTCACCCATGTGCCATCACCATAGTCCAGCGCACTTCACTCCTCCCACTGTTTTTGATCTCATTCCCCACTCCACCCTATAAAATGTCTCTGGTATATGGCTGTTCATTATTATTATTTTCTCACCTGGTCCATTATACTGATAGGAGTCTTTCTTAAAATGGAAGCTTAAAGATTTAGTTTCAGATAGCACTGTAGACTTACCCAGAACAGAAGGCTAGGGCAGCAAAGACAACACAAGTTTTATAGTCGACACATCATGAGGTATTTGTGTAATGGACATTGTTCTAGGGACTAAGGGGTACATCAGTTTGAACTGGTCCCTGTCTGGGACTTCTGATTTAGGTGACCGGTGTCTGGTATACTCCTCCCTTCATTTTGGGAAGGAAAGGTTGCCTTGGTTATCCTATAACTGGTCACATCAGCGTTCTTCAGGAGCTAGGGGATAGGGAACAATAGGTTAATGAGACATGATGCTAACTCACTTCATTAATCTTCAAAATAAATACTCAGCTTTCTTGTGTTCAGATAACAAGAATATGGATGAATATCTTGACATGTTAGAGCTAATTTCTTTGGGGCTAGTAAGAGTGATAAGCATAATAGGTTTTTTAGTGTTTGGCATAATCTTGTATACATTAGAAATGGACATGGATGTCGTTAATACAAGCCTCTTAGGTTCTCTTGGACGTGTTTTCCATTCAGTCATGAAGTTAGGCGATCCATTGTTTGACAGTTGGTGAAAAACACCAACTAATGTCTTAGTATCACTGACAAGTTTGTATCCCATTGGCACTCTGAAAGGTTCTGTGGGCACCATATGATCTTAACAGATGTGCTCATATTATTAGGGGGAAAGGATATCCTGAATATTATTAGGGGACTTCACCCCCTGCTCCAGTCATTGAAACTACAACTCCCAGAAACACCAAAGGGAGGACTGCGAGGACCCAAGGGCAGAGCTAAGCAGCGTTTTGAGAACTTTGGGGGGTGTGTGTATACAAATATATATATATATATATAGGAGCCATGTTGAACGGAGGCTTTTTCCTTGACCTCATGGCTGTTGGCTTGGCTCTTGATCTTGCAGTGTGTTATTGAGTTCCAAGTCAGCAGAACTGGTAGGATGTTCTAGTTAAGGGGAGCAGGGGTTGGGGGGCAGTGCAGGTCAGGAAAGGTCTGCCCACACCATGTGGGTCACCTCCCTGGCTGGTGATCAAACTCGTGCTGCAGTGGCTACTGATAGCTTCATAGTGTAGTGCTTTAACCTGTTGTGCCACCAGGGAGAGCCCAAGTCTGAGTTATACCTTTCATGCCTTCTATACACAATTTTTAACCTTATTTCCTAAGAAGCAAAACAAACCCCCTTGGTTTCCCACCTTATTGGTTTGACTGCCATTTCCATTGACTAGGATATGGAGGACATGACTGAAACAGTGTGTCAGCTACCAGGAAAAACTTTTCAAAGGTGATAATTGCTTCTGTGTCAAGGTAGGAGTCTTGGAAGAGAAAATGGGCCTGTTGCTTAAGTTCTTTTTCCCTCTTTCTCATGTTGGCAGATGCTGAGGGTCGGAAAAGCAAAAGCAGATGTGTGGCCCAAAACTGCTCCAAAGAAAGGTGAGGATGGGCCCCCTCACTGAAGGGACAGATTGACTCCTTTTAGAAAGTAAAAGCTTTAGAGCTGTTTCTAGAATTGTGTGGGGTTTTTTTGTTGTTTTTTTTTTTTTAAAGATGAAAACAGCTTAGTTCCTCCTGCCCCTGTGGACAGTGATGGGGAAAGCGATAACTCAGACCGTGTTCCTGTGCCCAGTTTCCAAAATTCCTTCAGCCAAGCTATTGAGGCAGCCTTCATGAAATTGGACACGCCAGCTACTTCAGATCCCCTCTCTGGTAAGGGCAAAGAACTGGAGGCCTCTGCACTGGTTGTCAGTTACCATACATAGTAAAGTCATTCCCACTGGTATCTTAATAGCAGCCATCACTAGTCAGCTGGCACTTTTCCCTCTGGGCCTTTTGGGCTGCCATTCTAATAATATTCCAAGTGATTTGTGAGATAGAACCCCAATTAATTCTTGAGGCCTGCAAGTGAAAATCTGAAGAACTGTTTTCCCTTCTAAGATACACTGGTGGAGAGTTAATAGATCATACCTACATTTTATGATTGAGTTGATAAATAGGTGGAAAAAAAAGGCTCGAGTACACCCCTGGTTTGAGGAATTCTTAATTAGACAAAAATAACACTAATAGTTACGGTGCACTTGCTATATGTGCTTAGCATTGTGCTAATTTCCCCCGATAACCAGTCTCATTCCTGCAAATACATAAATTAAGATCCAGCCATAAAACAGACTCCTGTGAGTACAGTAAACCAATAAACAGGTATGACTCTCAGGTTACAGATGAAAAAAACAGTCTAGGGACATAAAGTGACTTGGCCGATGAAACAGCTAGAGTTTGCAGTGATTGGCACTTGAATTCATGTAGTCTGATTGCAGAGCCTATACCTTTAGCTGACACTGACGGTCAGGAATGAAAGTTGACCGGGGGATCAGGGAATCGTGTTCTAACCAAAGCCCTCTTTGTGTTTGTCTTTAGAAGATAAAGGAGGAAAGAAAAGAAAAAAACAGAAACAGAAGCTCCTGTTCAGCACCTCCGTCGTCCACACCAAGTGACACTACTGGCCCAGGCTACCTTTTCCGTCTTCTTTTGTTCCCCTTGTGCTTTTGTTTTGCTGCTGTAATTTTTAAGTATTTGAGTTTGAACAGATTAGCTCTGGGGGAGGGGGGAGGGGGTTTCCACAACATGAAGGGGGGAACCGAGAAAATTTTAAATACAGTGTATTTTCCAGCTTCCCATCTTTACACCAAAATAAAGTATTGACACACAAGAGATCGATCTCTTCCTGCCAAGGTTTTAGTTTGCTGCCAGGTTAGTCTTTTGTCCCATGTGCAATTAGTTTTTCTCTTCCGCATCCTCTTAGAGCAGCCCAAGCCAGAGTGGTCTAGCTCTACTCTGCTGTGACATCATTTGTCAGGGCGTCGTTGCTTCAGCACATTTATTCACTTTTTTTTTTTTTTTAATTAGTTGACTCTTTTCTATCTGTTCAGTTGATTTCTTGTTAAAGAAATAGTGATGGGAATAAAATGGATTTAGGACACCCAGCTTGAATTGTTTTTTGCCCTGATAAATAGCCAGGCTGTGGTCCACACCTCAGTTGCTCATGCATGTATAGTGAGAGGGTTTAGCCTCCTAAACATGGCTTCTGTTACGGAGAGGAAGCTCTGTCTCTAAGGAAGCCCTGGAACCTGCCAACCTGTAGCCAAGCTTGTTTCAGGTGCCAGTGACCTGCTTTGTAGGAGTACAGGAGTCTGGCACACCTGGAAATGGAGCAGAGCAGGTTGCCCGCCGCCTGTTTTCTAGGCAGTCATATGCCTTAGTCTGAGCTGGATTTGAGTGATGTGAATTCTTTTGCTGCTTAATAAAGTGATCTCTAGGTGTATTAGAATGTGAAGGCAAATAGTCCAATAAATCACCTGCATAAGCATTATGTGCTTTCTGGTTTTTTAAAGTTCATTACAGGTCATCTAGACATACTAATAGGTTGAAGTAACTGCTACTGTGAGCTTGAGCAATTCTGTGGCCATGGAGTAATGTCTTTTTTAGGGTCTTGAGCTGGGTTTAGCTTTACTATTCTTGAAAGGAACTCTTCTGGATGGGTGAGAGTAGCCAAACCCTGAGATACTAGGGGACACATGGAAGCAAAAATACCACACATCTTTCTGTTAAGTGTGTAAAGGACTTTTGAGTATGGGAAAACATGCTCAAATGTCTTTAGAGGCTGGATCAAAACTTAACAGTCTCTTGTCCCTCCTAATTCATGTGGCATGTGGCTCAGGTGTCGGGCAGGTGTAAAGCAGTAGGGAAGGCTGGAACTTCAGGAAACTATTAGACACTGACAGCTGTGACTGATTGAGCTCTGCATAAATGAGGTTAGGTCAAGCCAGTTTTTCCTACCCCACCCTCCCCCAACCCAATCCCCAAAAGTGCCAGAATTACATTTTCCATCAAGGTTCTGGCTAGGTGTTGGCAAGGACTCCCTCTTTTTTCCCCTTAAAGATGTATTTATTTATGCATACAGAACTGGGGTACAGGCCAGAAGTGCAGGGGCGGTGAGAGGATTCACCAGAGACAGAGTGGGGAGCAGAACAGGCAGATCTACTGAAATACACTGCTGAGGGGAGCAGGAGGTGGGTCAGCAGAGGTCTGCCTGCCATGTGGGTCACATTCAGGGGAGGGATTGAACTCATGCTGAAGTGGCTTTAGCTTAGTGCTGTGCTTTAACCCCCTACACCACCAGGGAAGGACTTTTTTTTTTTTTTTTTAATTTATTTATTTGCATACAGAGCTGGGGTACAGACCAGAGGCTCAGGGGCAACGAGGCTTCACCAGAGACAGTGGAGAGCAGAACAGGCAGATCGACAAGTACACTGCTGAGGGGAGCAGCGGGTGGGTCAGGAGAGGTCTGCCGCGTCACCTCCGGGGCAGGCTGAAGTGGCTTTTAGCTTCTTAGTGCTGTGCTTTAACCCACTGCGCCACCAGGGAGGGCCCAGGACTCTTATTTTACGGCCGGATGTCAGAAAAAATTGGCTATATAAATCTGCCAGCTTAGTTGTCATACTGCACTAACACTCCTACTCTATAATCACCTGACTTGCTTAGGGCTCATGCTAGGGGCTGGGTATAGGACAAGGCTTCAAGGAACTAGTCTTCCCACTAAGGCCAGGGGTGGAGGGGGATACAGATTTGACCAAGAATGGACTTGGTAAGTTTGCTAAATGCTACAGAAGCCAAATACATTTATTAAATCTATTCTGAGCCAGCCAAGTAGTTTGTAACTACAGAATATTCACAATTTATGGAATTGCAGGTAAGTGACTAGTTTGATGTGAGTAATCCTCCATTTTGAGCTGAAAAATTGACCGCTGGTGGTCAATAACTCAGTTTGGAGAGCTGTAGGAGATGCTACTACCATGTTCCAATCAGTGTGCCCGAGAGGCCCCGGCACAGTGCAACCTGAAGATTCATCCCATTGCTTCAGCAGCCTCTTCACCACAACTGTCTGAAAGCTCCTCTGCTCCTGACTCCTCCTCTAGTAAACAGCTTCTTGTGACAGACTTCTGGATAGCTTCCCGCTCTCCTGGAGAAAGGCAGGCAGACCAAGCAGCGGTGACTATTGGGAGAGACTGTTTCTTCACTGCTTGGTGGGCACTGGGCTAAAGTAACTTACCATCATCAGTGCAGTTCTGCAGTAATATCAACAGTTGTCTCCTGTTGTACTGAATCAGGAATTTCTGACATGTTCTAATTGTACCTGGCACATGAAAAGAGGTTTTGGTCAACATCTCGTGAAAGGTGTCTGTCTCAAAGACTTTAGAACACTTCAGAAACTAGGGAAATAATCTTGTTCTCGGAAGTATATTGAGAAAACCATTCACTCATTAAGACCGAATTCTGAACATGTTACCATTGAATATCAACAGCCATACCGTGTGCCCGCCTACCTCCCACGTGCAGGGTGTGGAGAAAGCAGGAGTAGCGGTGTCCTCTGTTCTCCAAGTGCGTGATGAAGGGAAGTGCCGACCACACAAGCTGATAGAATTCCTTCCGGCATCGAAGTAGCACTATTCCAGTATAGGCATTGAGGTATCGCACTACAAGGCGGGTGGGGGGATTAATTTGGGGTAACTATTTCCAGAAGGTTAAGAGGCTGATCTAGGAAGTGGCAGCCTGGGGCATATCCCTTTTCCTGGATGGGGGAAACATTTTCAGTTAACACTAGGAGAGGAACAGGGCAAACACCCTGAGTCTTGCACACATAATTGATGAGTAAACTGGATTTTAAATCCACTGATTAGTCATTAAAGGTGGGGGAGTGGTAGGGATCCACCTTTCTCAGAAAAACCTTGCCTGAAAGTCAAACAGGCTCTGCAACTGGGCTCTGTAGGTTCCTGTAGCAGCCCATTCTCACCTGAGTTGTGCCTGTGTGCGGTTCTTCAGGATTCAACGGCCAACATACAATAAGAGGCAGAGCTAGTTTAATGTGGCTATCGGAGTAAGAAGAGCCCTTTCACTTACACAACTGTAATTTACTGGGTCTATTAAGAGCTTTAATTTTGACTGGTTTTACCATGTTGTGTCCAAATAACCTGGAACTATATATATACACGCGGTTTCCCTCATTTAATTCTCATTACCCTACTAAGTTCAACTGCAGTCCCCAATCTATACATGTTAAACAGGTACAGAGGGTTTGGGTTTTTGCCTCAAGTCCTACCACAGCAAGTTCTTAACTCTCTGCCTAACTTCGGATTCGTCCAGATCTTGGGCTAAGGTCGGAAATGATGAGAGGGCGATATTACAAATTGAGGGTGCATCGGGTTTTGAAGCTACTAGGGTCACTTGTTCCTTCTCCAAACCCCTTCCTCCGCCCGGCTCCCCAGCATTTCCGCACCCGCGAAGCCAATGGAGCAAGCCGCGGCGCCGAAAGTCCCATGCACGCGGGCGATCGTGTCTCGGACGAGGCCACTCAGCACTCGGTCCTCCAGACTCAGGCGGCAGCGGGGGTCATCAGACACCAGTTCGCAGAGCAGATACCTGCCGCAGACGAGGGGAGGTGAGTGCGGGGCTCCAGTTGATGGGAGCTGCAAGACTTGGGGGGAGGGGTCGAGCCTTTTACCTGTGCTTGAACCGCACCATGGCGGCTTCCGCGCCTGGCAGTGGGATGCTCAAACCGGATGTCTGTGGTCCTGCCGGCGGCCAATGGGAAGTTAGGCCACGCAGCATTGCAGCCACTTAGGAAGGTAGGGCAGGAGGTGGGGCTAGAGTGTTGAGAGGCCGAGTCCTCCGTCAATTTCGCTCAAGCCCCGCCTCCGTTGCATTTGCCGAACGCATGCGCCTTGCTGCCTTCCGCGCTGTGAGGTTTTGGAATTGGGCTCTGCAATCGATTGACTGCTGATTAGGTTCAGCTTTATGCCGCAGTTCAACATACTGTGAGATGCAGCCGCTGAGGGACGTTTATTTTCTGTTACCTTGCAGTATAGTTGTGTACGCAATTATATTCTCTCCGCAAGTTAAAAGGTGGGGCTGTTGAGGACATGATCTTACACTCACAGGCCAGGTATTGACTCGGAGCCCGAATCTTTTTTTTAAAGATTTATGCATGCAAGAACTGGGGTGTAGGCCAGAGGTCCAGGGGTATGTGTGAGAGAGGATTCATCAGAGAAAGAATGGGGAGCAAAACAGGCAGATTGACTGAAATACACTGAAGGCTCAGCGGGTGAAACGAAGAGGTCTGCTGCTGCACCATGTGGATCACAAACTTACGCTGCAGTGGCTGTGGACAGCTACATTAGTGCTGCGTCCTAACCCCTTGCGCCACCAGGGAGGCCCCTCGAGTCTTGCTTTCAAGTTAGAGCTTTGCTTAATATTACTGTTTGGCCCTTTCAACAATCTTGTGGAGATGGCTGTAGCGTCTTGAATTCTGTTTGCAAAAACAATTCGTGGTGGTTTTATTTTTCACTTTTTAATTTTTACAGAAAAACATAGAAGCAAATAATAACCCCAGTGCGGAGTCATAATAATTTGCCAAGTAGTATATTTTCTTTCGTCATTTTCTTCTGTGCCAGTGGTTCTCAAAGTGAGGTCCAGGAAGTCTCTAAGGTCAAATTACTTTCATAGTTATACTAAGATATTATTTGCCTTTATAAGTGGACAGCAAAGTTTTCCAAAGGATATGTGATGTGAGCTAACACCAAATGTAATTTTAAATTGTGTTTTAAGCATTCTATCTTATTATCATGGTAATACTTATATATAGCCAAAAAAACAAATACTTTTTGGGATCCTCAAAAATTTAAGAGTATAAAGGTGTCCTGAGGCAAAAACCGTTTGGTAGCTGATTAAATTAGTTAATATGTTAAAATTAGTCTTCCTTTCATTTTAGTTTAAGAAGAGTACCATATTACTTAGTAATTATTTTATTTTTGCTTTAATATTTTTTTACGAATTTATTTATTTGTATATACAAGAGCTAGTATGCAGGCCAGAGATAGAAGTGGGAGGTGGGAAGGGTGAGACAGCAGAGAACAGAACAGGCTGATTGAAATACACTGCTGAAGGGACAGCGGGCCAGACAAGGCCACTTGGGTCACCTCCCTGGTGGGGTCTGAATTCACGACGTGCTGTAGTGGTTGCATATTGCTTCAGAGCGCGTGGTTTAATTCCTTGTGCTACCAGGGAGGCCTTTTAAAAATATTTTTAAAGACTATCTTATTTCGGCTGTAACATAAAGTACACACTAAGTGTACAACTCAATGAATTTTTGCAAATGTACAGTTGTGTAATCACTGCCCAGGTAGAGCATTTCCAGCGCCCACGATAGATTGACTTTACTTGTTCTTAGACTTTATTATAAATCTTCAATAGTATGTGTTTGTTTTGTTTAACCTTATGTAACCTGATTCATTATTGTTTGGCTATTTTCTTGTTAACTATTACGCAACGTTATTTGTCAGCTGCACAATATTGCTTTAAGTGTACCACTGTTAAACTGGTCCATACCCCCATAATATACCTTTAAATTACAGGTAGCTCTTTTCTTGTTTACAATTGAAAATGCAATTATAACGTTAACACATACTTTAGACGTTTGATAACCTTGTAACAAGGTCTTTAAGCCCATCCTTATTTGTAGAACTGTCAGGGACCTGGGTGGCCGGGGAGGTCTATTAAGGAAGATTTCAGAGCCCATCAATTTGCAAGATCTGGAAGAAGTCCTCAATTTCCCCTCTCTCGCTCTTTTACCTCCTTGAGGTAGGGATGAGAGGAAGGAAGGGAAAGAAAGAGAGCAATGGCTTTCCTTAGAGACCAGTGTTGGCTTTTCTCCTCTCCTAAGGACCCCCAAAACCCACCCCCTACAAGTGACTCCCCCATGACCTCCTTTGGTCGGTAGGGGGCGTCCGAGGCCCGCAGTGCTGGGCGAGAGCACGTCTCTCCCTTTCCCAGCCGCAATCTATTCTCTTAATCCCATCCCCGCACCCCTGTTATAGATACAGTTAGGGTTTCCGCCAAAGTCAAACATCCAATACGAAGCAGATCCAGTAAGAATCAGAATTCGAATCGAAGGCCATCGGCCCCAGGGTGCTTTCGTCACACGCCTGACGCCCCGTGCAGTTTCGCTTGTCCACTTGAAAATACCTGGAGTGGGTCCGAATTCCCTCTGCACCACGTACCACACACGTGCACGGAGGTTCATTCACGTTCCCAGATTTCACTTTCCTCACCCGTACCGCAGGGCAAGAACGGGTCCTCGCTCGAGGGTGCGTGAGCGAGGCAGCGGCTGAACGCCCGGCGCTGAGGAGCCGCGCCGCCCGCGGGGAAGGAACGCTTACTCCGCTTCCCGCCGGGTCCCGCCTCCGCGCCCACCCTCCGCGGGCGCCCCCG